AGTGTCCCTTCAAAAATCTGTCATTGAGTCTCATGAGAATATTTCTTCGCCTTCTGTTAGCACTGACCAATCCGCTATCATTCCTGGACCGAGCAAGTACAGCGATGTAGTGAAGAGAACGAAAGTAATTTCTTCGACCCTCCTAATTAAGGCTGATAACGAGGCAGATGTGAACTCAATTCTCAGTGAAGTAAAGTCTTCTGTTAATCCAGCCAGCCTTAATGTTTGCATCAATAATACTCGAAAAAATCGCAATGGTATTGCTGTGGACTGCAAAGATGGCAGTTCCCTGAGCACACTGAAAGATAACCTTTGCAATAAATTGGGTTCTAAATATTCAATATCTGCTAAGAAGCTGAATCCACGCCTGCTTATAAGAAACGTTAATTTGGATGGTCTTGACAATCCTGATGATTTGATTTCGAACATAGCTTCTCTCAACAACATTAATGGTTCTCTACTTAAGTTTGTCACTAAGCTCAAATCCTCCCGCGGAATCAACATCGTAATTGAAGTCACTCCTACTCTAAGATCGGAAATATTAAAGACAGGGTTTTTATATATTGGTTGGAAAAAGTCGCCTATCTCTGATCACTTTCGCATATTAAAGTGTTTCAAGTGCTATTCGTTTGGCCATTCTGAAGCATCTTGTAAAGCTGATCTGTCCTGCACAAGGTGTACGCGAAATCATAAAATCAAGGAGTGTAACTCGAGCGCCCTACAATGCGTAAATTGCCTGAACCATAACAAGCTGTACAAGAAGATTCTACCAGTTGATCATTCGGCTAATTTTCCAAACTGTCCTGTGTTTCTCAATTATGTTCAAATTCTAAAAGAAAGGGTGGATTATGGCTAACACTATAAAAAGTGTCTTGAAACTATGTCACTTAAATGTGCGTTCTCTAACAGCTCACTTTAATGATTTTGCCTCTCTTGTTCGATATAAGTTTGATGTTGTAGCAGTCACTGAAACATGGCTGCATTCCAGTATTGACAGCACTGTAGTCAATATACTTGGGTATAATTTCTTCCGTAAGGACCGTGGGAGCAGAGGGGGTGGCATCGGTCTCTATGTTAAATTAGATATTAGCACTAATCTTATCCCAGTTGAGCTCGATGACTTTATAAATCCTCTTGAAATGTTATGCTATAAATTTGAACTGCACGGGTCCAGTATGTTAATTGTTGTTATATATAGGCCACCACATTGCTCTATACATCAAGCCATCCAGTGTTTAGAAAATCTTATCTCATTTTTCACTCCACAATATGACAACATTATATTCTTGGGCGATATGAATGTCGACTTGCTTGCTCATAACAACATCCTCAGCAGCTGCTTTGATTCATTCAATTTCATTCAAGTCATTGATGAGCCTACACGTGTTACAGCCTTCAGTTCCACATTACTTGATCCAATATTTGTTAGTGACAATACTATCGTCAAAAGGTCAGGGGCACTCAATGCAGACTCATTTAGAGATCATCGGCTCACATACTGTGATATTTCCGTTTGTTAGAAAAAAATAGAGCCTAAATTTGTAACATATAGAAATCTTAATAGCATTGATATTCAAAGTTTTAAGCCGCAGATTGCATCAATGCAGCTTAATGACATTTATTTCGTGAATGATGTGGATATTAAAGTCTCTATTTTTACTGGCCGTCTTCTTTATCTATTCGATCTCTACGCGCCGCTACGTACAGTACGTGTCACAAAACCTGCTGCGCCCTGGCTCACTCCTAACTTGAAAATGATTTTTCAACTCAGAGATGAGGCATTCGCTGTCTATCAGCATAACGGATCTGATCAGAATTGGGCCAGCTACAAAGATTTGAGAAATTATGCCCTTGCATCGCTTAGAAGAGAGAAAAAAGCATATATGTCACGTTTCCGGAATCTTAACTCTAGTCAAGCTTGGAAACACCTGAGGAGGATGAATGTGGTAGCCCAGAAACATGTAGCGATACCTCCCAGTCTCCTTGAGCCTAACATTTTAAAATTTTAAATAATTATTTTCTTTCAATTTTCCAGACAGCTGCAGCTGATCCAAATTTGATTGACAGTGTCTCTAACTCATATAGCGATAGACGCCATACACCGGATGCACCTCTGTTTGCTTTTAAACTCCTTACAAGCAAGACATCGTCAGTATAATCTCTCACATTAAGTCTACGGCATGTGGCTCTGATGGTCTAACTTTAAATATGATTTGCTTATGTTTGCCTGATACCATAGACCATATAACTCACATTATTAATGTCTGTCTCGAAACAGGTTACTTTCCTGCCAGTTGGAAAAATGGTATTATTATTCCAATAGCTAAAACTAATCATCCAGAACAATATTCGGATCTCGGGCCAATTACCTTATTATGCTTTCTATCAAAAATACTCGAAAGAGCTGTCTACTCACAACTAGTGGAGTTTTTCGAACAAAATCACTTATTTCCTCTACATCAGTCAGGTTTCAGAGCTGGTTACAGCACTACTTCGTCTTTATTACATCTTACTGATTCCATCATTCACAATTTAGACAATCACATCAACACCGTCTTGGTACTGTTAGATTTCTCGAAAGCCTTTGATATGGTCAATCACCAGATACTACTGAGTAAGTTATCTCATTATGGAATGTCAGATATAGTTATAAGGTTCTTTGAGTCATACTTGCTAAATCGTCAACAAACAGTGAAAACTGATCAGGGAATTTCCTCCTCTGAGCCAGTTCCTTCAGGAGTTCCTCAGTGTTCAGTATTAGGTCCCTTACTATATCTGATTTATACGATCGATTTGCAAGACTGTTTAGTCCACTGTAGTATGCAAACTTATGCAGATGATACTCAGTTAGTGTTTGGTTTCGATCCATCAAAGGTTGATGAAGTTTCTTTAAAGTTAATTTTGATTTGGCTAACATCGGTGATTGCTGTAACAAACACTGCTTGAAGATCAATCCCAATAAAACTACTGCAATGTTGTACTGTTCGAAGAACTCCTACCGTGAAATGAAGCAAAGGATTTGTGTTTTTTTGGATGAGACACTCATCCCTTTTGTGGATTACGCCAAGAATCTCGGTGTTACCCTTGATTCAAATATGAGATTCGATCGGCATGTCTCTTTCTTATCTAGAGTAACGTGTTTGCGTTTGAATTCTAATCGATACATCTTGAATTTTAAAACTCGAAAAAAGCTCGCTGAAAGTCTTGTGTTGTCTGTCATTTCTTACTCTCTTGTTCTGTATTACCCATGTTTAGACTACGTCCACAAAAGGAAACTCCAGAAAATTCAGAACAGCTGTTGTAGGTTTATTTTTGGATTGCGCAAGTTTAGGCGCGTCTCAGATAAAATCAATGAACTCAACTGGTTGCGAATTGATAAGGTATTTTTATATCTTTTGACCGTCTTCACGCATAAAGTTCTACTATCTAACAGACCAGCTTACCTCGCTAGCAAATTAGTTCACTGAGGTAGTTTTGTTACCAGAGCTCTTAGATTTAATGCTAATTTTAACATGCCTCCTCACAATACCTCGGTCTTTGAAAGATGTTACACCTATAATGCTGTCAAGCATTACAATGCAGTCAACAGTGGCTATCGATCCAAACAGGTTGTTTCTTTTAAGAAATTAATGAAAAGTCAGCTGCTGGAGTCCATTTAGTTCAGTTTTTCTTGTGCTCATGTGATTTTTTTTAATTTTTTTTTGTTTGACTATTTTCTACTATTTTTGTTTCAAATTTAAAACTCTCGCAATACTATCTGCATTTGTCTCGTGCAATCAATGTTGTCATTCTTATGAATTGTATTTTTTTTTGGTATGTTATTATTTTGCTTATGTGTTTAAGTATTATTTTTTCCTGTTGTGGGGTTGAGTGTAAGAGTAGCCGTCTGGCTAAACTTCGCCTCACTGCAGTTAATAAAGGCATTATTATTATTATTATTATTATTATTATTATTATTATTATTATTATTATTATTATTATTTTATGAGTCCATGTTCTCTTGAACAACCAGCAATAAAACCAGACTTTACAATTATTTCGAAAACCAAAGATATTTTCGTGTAATATGAATAGACTAAAAGGCCATATTATTCGAATGTTGCTTTCCGATGAAAAGTTGTCACTTGCCGATGATCGAATCTCCTTGAGAAAAATTCCTGAGGGAACCCATGGTTGCTCCTATAAAATTTTGTGGTATAGTCAAGGGCTTACGAGAAATTCAAGGATAAAACTACAGTGTATAAACACTGTTCTTTTTGTAGATATAGGCTGATGAAAGTGAGTTACTTGAATTTTCATGATGAAGATATCACAAATCATCCAAAACTATTCCATTTTCCATTCTTGCGCATGATAGTAATAAGATTGATTCACCTCAAAATGACCTTCTTGATCATAGATATGCAGTTCTCCTCAAGTGAACTAATGTCGTATGCTGATATGTGTATTTGGACAGCATACGGAGCATGCATTAATCTTCTGATGCGAATCTTTAACTTTGACTTCTTATGCTTCGAAAACTGTCAAACTATCGAAAAGAGGCAAGGGATTTTTTTTGAACCAAATTTTATCCACCATGAAAACTGATAAGCAGGGTTGACATGTTGGGGAATCTTCCGACAAATTTGGAGGATTTTTATTTTTTGTGCATATAATGTTCTGGGGGAAGTCACAAGTTTCGTGGACAGAAAGAATCCCACCAGTCTTCGAACCAAACCTACCTATTTCCATTGATTAACTATGATTTTGGGGATTATTTTGAAATAGTAGCAATTCTAAGGGATTTTTGAGCTTGTTCTGGGGGAATTCTGTCCGAGCCATCTGGCAACGCTACTGATAAGAGCATCGATACTTTTGGGATAACGTTTAGGGATTATACGTCACATAAGCTGTTGACCGTATGATGAAATTGCGATATCAACAAAAATATTTCTGTTCAACTTTTTGTAAGAAAAAATGACCTGTCTCGGGATAACTATTAAAAATAGTAATTAACTTACCTTCTTGACTAACTGCCCCGCAAAGCAACCCCTCAATCACGAAAGCAACCACTAACAGCCTCCCCAAGGCCCCCTTCCGGCCACCGGGAGCGCAGCACATGTCTCAGGCCATGGGTGCCACAGCAAACTGATGTGTCTAGCGGAACCCATGCGGGATTTTTAATAATTTGACATTTTCATTAACGCATCTCTTAATGAGTTTTACATACGACGCGACCAGACCTCATGGACTCGCACTAGAAGAAATAGGTCAGATTGCTGACGGATTACTCAGGGTTTTTTTCCGGGTCGTAGGCGAGACAATTAAATAACCATGATTATGATTATTAAGTTTTTAATCTTGCTTTTGTGATAATGACTTTACCGATATAATGTTTGAATCATCAACTTTATTTTTGCTTGTGCGTGTGTGTGTGATTTTTGCACGATAGAGTTTTAAATTTGGTCTTCAAAAATGTATAATACTCGTAGATAACACTTTCACATTTTAAGACTGAAAGTATACAAAAACAGTTTTTCTAAGTAAGCCGTGCAATTATTGTCAGATACTCATTAATTTCATAATATCATCAGCGGAGCATTCCTTCGGTTTCTATAAAGTGTCATGGGTAAATAATTTCTATGTCTGATTTTATTGATATTTGTATATACAGGGTGACTTCGAAGTTGAGTCATTTATTTTAAAAGTGAGTAGATCTGATCAAAAGAAATGTTTTTTTCCTTTACCATTTTTCTGGTAAAATTAAAGTAACAAAGTTATAGCCCTTTGGAAGTTTGAGTACCGCCCTGTCTCAATAATAATATTATGTGCTCGTGTTTGGTTCATCGCATCGGAAACAAAAAAGCGAAAGAATTTGGAACTATGTTTTTACAATTATTTTATTCAGTTCAGTTATACATACAGTCAGTGTCAGTCGCGTGTGAATAGTGTCTGTTGCGTGGCTCAAACGAAATTATTAGATATCTGCTGTAACGTAAGGAGGCAACGTTTGCGATAGTCGATAAATTGATGAATTATCCGAATGTCCTTTAAACAAGCATATTAAAAACTGGAGCAATCTTCACTTGGTGATGTAATCATTTTCCAGGGCAATTATGCAAATATCAATTTTTTTAATAACTTGGGTTTGGCAATGCCATTGTATTGCAAACAATACATTTTCGGAATCGAAATTTAATTTTTCATCAATTTGTGTAGAAATAAACTAGAGAGCATTAAAAGAAACGTGACATTGGAATCCTATTTATTCCACCTTATACAGGGTGTCGCATCGTAAACTCCATTGATAGATTCCTCGAAAAGTACGCATATGATATTTTTGAAAATCTGGAAATATAATATACTAATGTAAAAAAATTTATTGGGAAACACTTGAACACCCGCCTTACAGTCCCGCACGGGTATCATGTATAAAACCTATAAACCGTCAAGAAAAACCTATAAGATGCCAACTTGCAGACTAGGTAGTTTTTAGGGCGCATACAGTCATTCCACGTTTGCTCACTAGGATCGTTGTGAACGTCCATCTATGAAGGAATCACTCAACTAACTACACGCATTATTGGTTGCATAGTTTTGTGAGGCTGAGTGATCCGTGTTTGTAGTTTTTATCTCTGAGAAGAATGTTTGTTGAATAGCAAGATCGCATCTGGGTGATTATGTGTATTGGTCTGCACGTGTATAAAATCAGTGATATTTGCTGTGTGAGAAAATCATTACTGAATATGACGGGTTATTTATATGTTGTGCTTTCTGAAGAGGGGTTATGTTCAAAGTTATAAACTAAGAAAAATTGAGGAGAATTACGGGAAATCATCACCGCGATCGCGTTGTGTGTAATTACTGTTAGCATGTATATGGCTTGCAATTCGACTGTGTACAGTGAATATAATTATTTCTTATCTCTCTCATTTTTTAAATTCAGCAAATTTGTATATGAAATTCCCAGAATGGATAAGAAAAAGTGGATGTGCAACTAATTTTTAGCTTTGAATCTCAATTAAGTATATTTGAGACAAGAACCCAATGTAATTATCATCAACACAGACAACTTACAGCTTAGACCTCCGGTAATGCCATCTCAGAAGCAGATTTTACATCACATCAGAGCCAAAGATTGATTACAAGCCTCATGACGTTTAGGCAACACGTACAACTAAGTGCTAAGTTAACATCTTGTAGAAAAACCTACATAATGTCAAAAAAAAAAACAGGATAATGTCAAAAAAAATCGGCATAATGTCATTTTTCAAGATACGTGATACCCCTGCCAATTTGTCGCCATGTGACTATCACATGTTTGGGCCACTTAAGGAAAACCTGGGATGTCACCACTTGGTCGACGACGAAGGTGTGAAAACGTTCGTGCACACTCGGCTACTGACACGAACAGCTTCGTTCTTTGATGGGTGAATTAAAAACTCTCGATCCGATGAGAAAAATGCATCAATAAGAGAAGAGATTATGTAGAAAAATAAGATGTAAATAAACTTGTATTTACTATACCAATAAAATTACTAAAACACAAGTCTGGTTCATATTTGATTCACCCTCGTACATTATATGAATCAGTCACATTTTTCGAAATGCCACGATGTCATATGTTCAAACATAGCTTTTCCATACTTCGAGTGTAGTTCAAAAAATGCTCCACCAGTTGTAGTGATACTGTTAGACGTTTGTTGATCTTTTGGAGTTATTCTTGCTGAAATTAAATAATACATTTTGTTTCATATTTATCATGTAAATACAAGAGTAGCTGTTAATTGAACTAACTAGATTTCATTTAACATACGGAGACTTTCATAGATATCTCGACATCTTCTTAAAATACTTCATCTAGCAGTCACGCTATAGAGCAAATTTGCATGCTCAAGAAAAGCAAAAATCAAACGTTTAAGCAACTTGGATCAAACTGAACCTTTTATAACACAAAATGAGTTAATGAAATGTCCAAAATATGTTATTAGATGCCAGGTTTGCTGGATATGCATGAACGTTTCCAAAACCTGGACTATATATTTTCAAAATAGTGCCTCGTTTCGGAGATATGCGCTCCTAAAGGTTACATTAAACATTGTTTTTTTTTAAATAGGTGTTGAGCAACACCACAGCTCAACGAAACTTTGACAGTAGGTACTAGGTAAGGCTTTACATGATAATGTACAAATAAAACAATTAACTCAATATATCGTCAGGGATACTGGCCCTAACGCAATAATGGCAAAATTTCACATCTCCGAAATGAAGTGGTACTAGATGATTTAAAATATTTCTGGATTTGATCTCAGAGATTAGATGTTCAAATCGATATGAAACCTGTATGTAGATAGGTATGTCAAAAGTCTAGAATCGGTTTTATATCTCTGGAAGTACTCTGGTCCGATGTCTCCCAAATTTTTAATAGGGAGATAAACATTAGTCATGTTTAATGGGACTCAGTTCGAACCGTTCGAACTAAATACGATTCAAAACGCGGTATTCTGTCTCGTTTACACGCAGTTTGCTAATCGATTTGAATGTATTTTGAATCGTTGTTCTAGGCGACGGCCTAACTGTGATAAGGGTCATTAACGAAAAATAAAGTTGTATATATAAGCTCTCCACATAAATAAGTCGGCAGACAATGACATCTTTAGGTTATGATGGCCGTTACAACCATTATGAACAGCCGCATTTGCTTGCATTTGATTAACATTTCATTTTACTCAAAAGCCCTATAGACCTCAAAACTGTATTCACCTTCAATCGGAATTCTTTACATGCCGTATTCAATACCAAAATTGTACTCATTTCTGACTGAATCTCACATCTAAACGTTATAACTGTCTGATCGGGAATGATCGGTTAACTCACTTCACCTTTGGTGAATACCGATCCAAGATATTTGACCGTTTTCGGACTTTTAAAAACAAATAATTTTTTGCTTTTATCTTGCATAATTCCTATCAGAAAGTGTATAAAACTAGTCAGAGTCTAAAGTACCACCATCTTATCTCAAATAGGCTTAGCCGCTAACAAATATTTGTTAAGGTATCCTTACGTGCTGCTTAGATAACAGTCTCTGAATTTGTGACATCGTTAGGTTTGTTGAACGATGTTTCTGCCACGTAAAACACACTATTACCAGTTTCATAACTACTAATATCGCATTCAGTCACGACATTTAAAGGTATAATTGATTTACGAGGATTCATTTTGTTGTGTTGTGATCGAATCTGTAGGCCTCGGTACTTATCTGTTATCAGGTTCCAATCTTTTATAAATAATACAAGTTAGTTTATCATAGTCTGCGTCATAACAGGATTATGTCGTGAACAAGCATGTCCGCTCTTATACATATTATGGGGAAGGTTTTAAATTTGGTGCGAAAATTCCGAGCCTGATGATGTCAATTTGGCACTGGGACCCACAAACGATCTATTCTCTTCATCAAATTCGGCCCCCTGGCACTACGCCACTCGTTTCTTAGGTAGATTTGTTGCGTAGATCCCGAATCCGATGGAAGTTTGGCACTAGGTCCCAAATGATCTATTTTCCACATCAACTTTGACCTCCTGGTACTTCATGATTTTGTGACGATGACATTCGAATCCGGCGCTGCATATTACATATGTATACCAAGTTTCATTCAATTGCAACAACTCCAAGGATAAAATGGAAATTTTTCACTACAAAGTTAATAAGAAAATTTCAAAGAGGGCTGCGTCCCCAAGATCTCGACAGAAACTCTCAGTTCGGTACTAGGATCCACACAAAGCTCCTAACGAACTATTTTCGACCTTGAATCCGGATCCCTGGCTCTTGACGATTCTTTGACAATGATATTCGATGTAGTTCCATATTACCTAAGCATACAGAGTTTCATTCATTGGCGAAAATGGAAATTTTGACCTACAAAGTGACCTAATATTTTTAAGTTTTGCATGGGTAAATTTTGAAAACTTTTCTTTCTCATTTTGACAAAAACTCTACTGGGTAAATCTGGTGCATAAATTCCAAATCAGAATAAGAACGGCTTTTGATTCCAGCGGAATGGAGTATAGACGATTGTTGACTATGCTCCTAACTTCTGAGTTTATGTTTTCTAGATATTTTCACATAGTTGCTACCTTCT